CTGCTGTTTTTTGAACAGCCGGTGGCTGCACAAAGTGAAACTTGTGTACATTTAGTTTTGAATCCAAGGAGTTTAGGTTATTTAAAGCATTGCTTTAATTATTTCAGTGCTGGTTACATTGCGCAGTAGGTAGGCACTAAACCTTTAAAAAATAGAATACAGAGATTAACATTGCACCAAGCTTATAGAACTATAACCAAACAATAATTAAGAAAATGCAATGCATTGAAACCAAGACCTTTTACTTAGCCAGAAATATTGTATTACTTGTTGAACCTCGTCGCACTTCTTAGGACGTCGTAGACCTAACAGGTTGTAACATTCATTTGAATTTAACGTGCTTTCAGAGCTGTTATCCTTAAGCACAACAATGCATCTAACAATAATGGACGACAAAAAAGCAGTTGCATATCTAAGCAGATATGCAAGCAATCAAAACGCAGCTTTCGAGGTGATCAGTCGATTAATTGAATGCTCCAAATTTATATATATATATATATATCTATACATGGATAGGTCTAAACCTGCCAAAAAAGAAACCTTACTCTATTCGAAGTTTTACTAACTTGAAAAAAGTTTATATTTTAATTTGTTTGTGCTAGCGTGTGAAAAATGAAAGAGGCCTCTATTCAGGTTCAGTCATCCCATCACCACTCATAGATGTAGCTCACGCTCTAGGATTCTGTACAGGCTTTAGAAATCTAATAGTTTTAACGATGTTTCTGCTAATAATGACTTTACAATCAACTGTAACACAATAGAATCAATTATATAAAACAAAAAGCATTTTTACTTCATTTAAAGTTAAAGCTTCGTCTATATCCCTGCTTGGCGTAGCGATATTTTGAACAGGAGGTATTCCAAGCAATTTTCTGTCGTACGTTAGGCCGTATGTAAAATTCTGGCAAGTTATATTTGATGCAAATGACAAAAAGACTATCAACGAGCAAGACACCTCCGAAACACTGTTCCAATCTATCTTTTATGAGCTATTAATTAGTAATTTTACGGACATTACATACGAAGAGCGTAAAAAGCGTTGTTCAGTCTCGCTTATCTTTCTGATTATTTCCGCCATTTCACAAAACATATTAAATCCTAATTAAAGCTTTTTTTGGATTTAGTTCGTAATAGACCAATGTGGCGGTTTGTCAAAATTTTTCTTGTGTATAAAAAAAGAAACTATCCAGCTGAACTATCTTAAACGTTTGCTGGCAATACTGAACGTAGGAAATCAAAATACTTATGCTTGACTCGTTGCTTGAACATTTATCTTGAGCTGAAAATTTTTGCTCTGAGAATCGCTGCTTTGAGTTGTACGCGCGGTGCTGCCGTTGGGCAATATTTCAGACAGCACGGGACTCGGTGCGTTTACACTCGTGCGAGAATTTGGCTTACGAGTTTCTGTACCGTGAGACCGCAAACAATTGATTTGGCAACGTTAATCTTGTCATCTCTCTGTTAAATGCTAAATAAGATAATTCGGCAGTTCTCTTTAATAGAAACCATTTATTTGGCCTGCGTTTTAGATACTAACGTTGTATCTTCACTCACTAATTCAAACTGCTAAGATGCATTTTAATACGCCTACATCTCAACTATGCTGTTGTTTACGAGGGTGGTTTGATCAAGTTCATGACTAACTAACCAAATAATGCATAATCATATAGTATATGCATATAATTTGTTCTGAATTTTTCAGAGTTCACTCCTTAACAAAAATCGACTTGGATCTAAAGACATATCTGAGAAAATCCGTTTTGATCAAGCTTGTGGGCCACAGTAACTCGGCTCGTACACTTACACCGTATACATACTGGTCACGATCTGCTTGGGACTGGCATGCTGTTAGAAAGCTCGAACAAATCTAGATCAGTACCTCGGCAGTCGATGACAGCCACTTTGCGGTGGAGCTGAAGGCAACACACTTTTTTATTTGATAGGTATATTTCTTCATTCATAAATACTGAATTCGATGCGCATGGGCAAAAGCCCAAATAAATACGGACGAATATGGCGGTACATATTCATACTTGTTGTTCATTTTATATCATTACAGAATATGTTTGTTTGGTGAAACGGATCATCACGCATGCTTCCTCCATTTGAATATCGTTTTGAAGTCGAGATGATACGTGTCCCGTACAAGCCTGTTGTTCCCGCCTTCGGTCATCCTGTGTGGATGCAAACATGTTCTTCTTGGCAGTGTTAAAAAACTTAACTAAGTGGTATTGCCAGGGAGATTTGTTCGTGTGGACCAGTGGCATCAGTGCCTGCATATCAAAGCTTAAATTTAGCTCGTGTGTCCTATCATAAGGCTAACGCCGTTTGGACTTATGTATATCGTCATATAGTCGGACCCTCGAGTAAACTGTTAGATTTCCTAGTCTTTTGAATCTGTTTCTTAACGTTTTCCTTTTAGAACGCCAACAATCTAGAATAAATCCCTTTACTTATTGAATGACCAAATAGAATCTAAATAATAATCCATATATAAACAGCAAACAGATTATTGATATAGTGCATTGATTTGTACATTTTCAACATTTTCCGTATAACCTCAGTTAGTCAAACGATAAAAACACTAAAGGGCATTAGTGTATGGCTGATTTATCGTGCGCAAATCTTTCCCAAAATTTCATGTCACATTGTTCACTAAAAAGTAAAACACGCCATATAATAGATTATACCCGAAACAGAGTCACGCGGGCGGAACGATTATGGTGGCGGATCTCTAAACGTAACTGTCTCTTTTCGCCATCGTGGGCTCGATTCATTTTCCCTAATCATAACCCATAACGCCACCTACATGTCCTATAGCATAGTTCGGCGATGGAGTCACTAAAAGTTTGAGCGTTTCCTTTTGTGCCAATTCATCATTGTGAATCACGGTCCGTGGCGTCACTTAATAAATCACTAGACAGCAATTTTTTCAAATCACTATATATGTGTGTGTATAAAATGACCTGTTAAAAAAAAGACGCTGATACATACGAGTAGTTTTCTAAAATGTGCCTATTCTGCTAAATGAAGATGTTCTAATCTAGACAAAGTACGATTTGACCAGCTATTGCTCCGTTACAAGTACGCAGAGGTCGAGTTTTCTTCTAATGGTAGGAAACACAAACAAAGCTAAATAATGCTTACTCCAAGAATACAAAAGCCGGTCGTAGAAGGAAGATAACCGAGGGTCATGCATAGATCAACTGTGTTTACGAGCCGCGTTTAAAAAAACTGTGCATACTAGCATGAAAATATGTGTAGATGAATAGTCAAGCTTTGTATCAACTGCTAAAGATAACGCAATGATAACCAGGCTAATTAGCTTCCTGACGAAATACAAGAACTCGTAATGGCGAGAGGTACAAATAAATAACTTAATTCCCATAATATATAATCCGATTTTGGGTTTTCTATTTTTTTATGCTGTTCTGCAGCGTTTATCAAGTGATTTCTGGTTGTAATATTTAAATTAGATGCGTTAAGAAAATGTAGAGGATTTTGCTCGTTGTGCACGTGTGTGAGTGCGAAATTAAGATAAAACCCTCTAGGTGTTCATTGTTTATTAGATATTAATTGAGGGTAACGCTGCTGCTACTAAAGCCCTTCCATAGAAATATTTTTGTCAAAGGTGGCGTTCAAAAGTTGATTTTGATTTATTTCAAGCGATGAGTCATTAAAGGAATAGGAGTGCGCAAGCTCATAAATGCTATATACCTGCCACTTGGAAAAAATTGCTACCGCCAGCTATAAAGTTGTTTATTTTTAATTGCAATTGATAAGCTGTTACACGACGACTTTTCCATTTTCTAAGTAAAGATTCAGAATATTTTCTAAATAAGAGCCCGCAGGCATCTGTTTAGCCGGTTGCACATATCGATTGAATCGAACCACATCGTAACTACGCACATAGTTTTACTTTAGTACCGTATTCCTCATACTTTCTTTTACTAAGGATTTTACCACAAAATATTACATTTAACTAGGATTAGTACGTAAACGATTAGTAAATAAAAAAAAAGGTAGAAGATTCCAATAATTGGTGAGCCTGGTCCAGTATGGGACTACAAAAACCGTATCGGTTACCGCATCGCTAGAGGACCACGAGCAGCGAGCGGATCTAAAAATTTCTAAAAACATTAAACGCTCGACCGCAGTCCCGTGATAGCTTGGCGGGGGGTGTATTTATCTACAGATCAGTTGAGGTCTAGACTCGAATCCAGGCTTATACACACTTCGTTTCGTGCTGCGGCCCAGTCGTGCAATGAAACGACTATAGGACGTAAAAGCCGAAACATATAGCGTGGATGGGCGACTGCTTCGACAAGAACAATCGAAGTGCGCAGTGTACATCACGCAGCCAAAGAATATAATATGCCTTATACTTTGGAGGATTGAAGGAGCTCTGTTATCACAGATGACAACGTCCCGTTTAAACAGATACGTTGATCTTAATGTGCGTATCTCTAGTTTCTTCGGTCGTTCAGAAGTCCTCGATACCACAGATTCTGACGTCATTATAAAGGGACAGATATGCCTGATGGTTGTTAGCCAATTTCGGTATAACCTTAGAGCCGATTACGCCGATTAGATTTAAATGAACGGCAAAAACGTTTAATTTTTATCTGCTGCTTATAGCTAAATTAGCAAGTGTTTCACACAAAAGCAACCCCCCAAATCACCCATATCCGACATTTTAACCAGATACTCAGTTGTTAGAAAAATAGAATAGGAAACACGATACGCAGTCATGCAATGCCCATTTAGTTTATTCTTCTCACTGTTTCGTGTAATACTTACTTTGCTATAATTAGGTGCTTTGCCTAAGCTCGCACTTCGTAGAATCTAACCACGCCAGTCTATGAGATTTCCTACTCTCTTTCCGAATATCCGGGAAAGGGCGTTGACCCTCTCCATGTTGAGCGGCTTGCTTTCCCACTCACGTGTTCGTACGAACTTCACAGAGGCGGCCAATCTCGGAGAGGACAACGTACGAAGACGTCAGCATCTGATGCTTGGATTAGTAGCGTTTAATAGGAAGACAGGTGGAGAAAATGTGATACTTTATCAGTAGAAGCCTCTACATACACTTTAAGGGGCATAATTAAGCGTGATGGCCATAGTACGGTCGCTGCTTTTATATTAATCGATACAAAATACACTGAGATCCCAGGCTGCAAACAGTGACAATTAACATTGACAGTCTTATTGAATTTCACCGCAAGCAAGTGAAGTAATCAATTCAGAGGTCAAACATGTAAGTTACTGTTTGAGTAACTCTTCCTTCGTTTGCGCGTGTTATTAAAGTACTTCGGATTTAAAGCGGGACAGCAAGGAAGATATTACCTGAAGCGCCAAGTGTGACCGTAAATAGTTACAACCGGAACAACACAAACACATTGGTCGTCCGTAAAAATATAAAGGCGGTTATGCTGCAGCAGTATGACAATAATATTTCAAGAACAAAGTAAATAAAAAAATTGTATGCTACGAAGCAAACAGGCTGCCCTGATTCGAGCGTTAAAAAGTGATGTGATGCGTGTCGACCAATGCAAAAAGTGATCTACGTGAGCCATACTAAAAATATAACAAAAACAAAAATGAGTTTGTGGGATCCCGCCACCATTAAATGGATGGCAGTGATCAATAATCTAAAAGAAGTAAATGTCATCGATGAAAGTGGACGCACAGGCACCAGTAACAAATGCTAACAGAAGCCAAGGTAGGTTGGCAGATCTTGTGAGCCTCACAAGGCCCAGGGGAAGATCAAACGTAACTTCTCTGAATCTGATTTGCCCGTCCGATACTTTTTTGTCCTTAGCACTTTTCACATAAGCATTGAAATAACACATCATTGTTGAATCGCAATCGTCTTTTTGAGTTCATGTTTGCACCTCACACGTGACGTGACCGCCTCTTTTTTGGACAGAGGAGTGTCGGCAGCTATTACATATACGGCACGACGTTATAGACCACGATATATGAAATCATAAATCAATGGTCGCTTCTGTAATATAACTATGAAACAGCAGACAAATATCTATAAAAGAGTCATATATTAGGTTTGTGTGTTTATGCACATTCAGGTAATAAAGATGCGTCGTGATAATCAACAATCGGGCAAATATTTAATCAGTTGTGCTTGATCAACTTTTGTGCTAGTTCAATGTATCGAGCACAATTACTCGATGATTTTGACCCCTTCCAAGTTCAAGGTGTGCGTATCCTCTATGGCATGCTGTATCGACCGGAATCAATCGAGTAGACAGGCCAACGTCTGTAGAACGGCTTGGCCGACCAAATCTTATGTAATTCTATTTGTGTGAAATTTGCTTTTGAGGCGAAACGTCTTTACTTGAAATAAATTCAAAATTTAACAGCTGCTATATAATATGCAGGGAAGGAAATATATTGTGAGACAATATTTAAGCGGTTTCTATCGATTGGCATTTAGTTTGACTACGAAGTTCTGGCGCATCTGTTTGTAGTGTGGGATAAATAACAGAATGAATTAACGCCCACGTTTTTTTTTTAACAACTGTAGTATCCTAAGAGAAACTATTCACTACAAGGGTATTTCGTGTCGCTGCATGAGCGAAAAAGCTGTCGTTACTATAGTTAACTTTCCTATTTTACGCTGTCCGGGTACGACGATAGAAGCAATTAAAAAAAACTGCATCAGTACCTCATATGAATTCGCGTGATGTTATCCGAATTCAGCTTGGTTACATACTGTAACCTCTTGTACATCTGTAAACAACGCTATCTTTTTTGCAGTGTGCGCGTTTACCTCCGATCATGCGTCAGAGAACTTTGTCAGATCAGCAAGAAATTAAGGCGTGTCCGCTCGTTACGATGAAAATTGGGTTCGGGTGCTAATGGTGCAAAGCAGAACAATGTGCATATTAAGGCATCAAGCGGCCCTTATCGGGCCTTGATAAGAACAAGCGAGCCAATATTAATTCATCCCTGTAACAAAATGTCCAGGTGTGGCAATAGAAAAATAGTGGATTTCTTTTTAAATCTATGTGGGTATGGCCTTTAGTCGATGGGATAAACCTTCAGAACCCGCAATCGCCACTTTCATAATGTGCTATAAAATGTGAACTATTGCATTTTAAGAGAACTCACGACTTGGTGAGCTTAAATTGCTGCCACGGAATCAAGAACGTTATCAAATATCCCTAATAATGTCGGAACGCAGAAATCACATTCACAGATATCCTTATGTGTAGATAAATTTGTGCGGCTTTAGAAATGCATGCAATTAATAAGCCTTACTAGGCAAACACTATATGCCAGCAACTCTAACATTTTCAACGCAACAAAACGGTTTTTATTTAATCCGACCACTGGGTGTGGCCTTTGAAAAACTGTGGTTTTGAAACAAATGTTCGGTTAACCAAAAAAGTAAATAACCACACTTGTATATTTTCATTTTCCATTCAATGAACTTTCTTTTTTTATTTTTGTTATTAATCGGGTTTCAAGTTGCACCCCTTTCGCGATAAAAAATTAATTGACCTGACCTGACCTAACCTAACAAACTACTGACGTTGTAATATGGATGGATTGTTTATATGATTAATCTATCTGTTTGTTTGGCGAAAGACATCTGTGCGTCCTCGCAAGCTATTAGAATCTGGCATTTGTTGACAGTTCGAGTTTTTAAAGCAGTCATAAATTCAGAGGATATCGTGGTTAACGCTCTATGAAATCGACTTACCGACGAACCATAATAAGCATAAATAGCATAAAATAATAATACCATAATATAAGTTTGCAGTTAAACATACTAAAGTAATAAACGCTGCCAAAAATGCAAATTACAGGACAGACAGTGGATAGTTCTATATAAACAAATTATTCATGGTGCCCATTATTAAACTTGGTTAGTATGGGTTAGCTACTTTTTGAAAAAGCAAGCCTTATTTTTTTTCGAGTTTAGAGCGGTTTGAAGGCCCTGTGTTGTAAGCTAAGACGTACTAGGTCAGGACCACAGAGAAACTGTGATTAATATTAGAGCAAAGAATACCTTGGGTTATTTTCAAGGTCTGATATAACGATGGTAAAGGTATATTCCAATAAAAGAATATGTCCTTCCACCTTAATTTTCCAGTATTTTGTTTCACTTTATTTTTGGTTGATAACCAGTTTAGCGTTTTGTTATCTCCAGCAACTGTATCTTCTGACCGGAACGGCCTTGTTAGTAATTCACTACTATGGATGACGTTTCAAAGCAGTTATTACGGATACCATGAAAGTCTGTACCAGTAATAAAAGGGTAGGCAAGGTGGAGAATTCAAGCAATATTCGCTGCCTTATTACTATTATTTCGCTAGCTGGTTTACAGTTTTGTCTTGATATCCTGGTTATACATATGGAAGCGTTAGGATATTGCGGCATAATAACATCTCCACTTTTAATTTATAAAAATACGTACTATAACTCATAGTATGGTTACAGTACCCCATAAATTGTGGGTTCAGCTTCTCTTGTCCTATTTGCATTAGCACTATAGCCGCCCTTACCATCAGAATCGGGAAATCCTCTTGACATCCCAAAGAAACTTAATTTATTGACCATTATGTGCTATCATTTCATATAAACTTAATTTCGAAATTTTTGGATATTGGAGCTATGGTATATTTAAGAAACAACCCTTTTGTCGTTAACTTTCAGCATAAAAACTTTAAGGTCGAGGATTTTAGTTTTAATGTTTTGGGGTATCTTGTGTTCTGTGACAGTGAAAGGTTACCAGAAGACCCGGTCAAAATTGTTGCTGAGTTGGGTTCTACTTGCAGGAAAAATTTTATGCTGGTTTCTGCGACAAAAAAGAAAATATACATGCGTACTAAAGAACCACATATGCTCAGCGTAAAAAGCTTTGGCGACAGAAAACAGACAAGAAGTCGAAAATCAGACTATTATGCAAGAATGGGTAAAACTAAGAAACGAAACAACATGATTTAATTTTAACACTGCTTTGGTTTTCGTCTGTCAGAAGAAGTTGTTGATCGGATTAAAATAATATAAGCAAAACCTAAACTTTTTCTTAGCGGATATGGATTATAGCACATATTTAATCTATTTATGAATGGTTCTCTCTTGTCTGCTATGGGTTAGCGCATTCGTATAAATCTTAGACTATTTATTTGAAATGCACAGTTAATCTTCTAAGTAAATCCTAGCTGCATGTAAATCTACTATTTAACATCGATGACGCCGGGTTACATAAGCTCTCTAATGGCTATTAAATAAATCAAGAATTTTTTAAAGGCTAGATATACATAGTACGGATCATTGAGCGTCTTATAGCAACCAATATGTCCTCTACATGCCCGCTGACCGATCCACAGAGCCATAGAATCGTTTTTACAGATGTGAAATTTTAGGAACGGTATTGATTGTTGTTCATTAGGTAGAAACATAAATATATTGCTTAAAAATAATTTCGTTTAAAGCCGTATCTGCTAAAACTACCGCTGTTAATCAGGCTACTACTAAATGGCTACAACAGCTTTTGTACTTATTTACAACGGTGTTTTGTTTAGCGTTGGCGGATTAGTTGTATCGTCAAGTATTTCTTAAGAACCGTAAACATTAGTTTTTATAGAACCGTTAACTATATTCTATAAAAACGGGTGTTCAATAGGTTCTATTGTCTTGATCAGCTAGATTTTAGTTTGTGGGCAAACTAGGAAGTTAGATTATTATTTTAATATCATAAATGCAATTGAACATGTAGAATACCTACCTAAGAGAGAAACATCGTTGACCGACGTTTACGATCGCTAAAATTTAATAACAATAAACTTACGTATTGAAGTCTTTTATTTCTTCAGGCACGCCAAAATGGCACGTGACATATCAATTAATTTCTATTGAGTATTTAGCGCTCTACTTCCTTGCAAATTTTTGCTTTGCGTTTCATCAGATCATTACTTTTGTAGTGAGCTGTATAAAGAACGCCATGTATTTTCTTTTGATTAGTAAGTTTATAAAGATTCATATTGAAAACAGACTCACGCCATCCGAGATAGCAGTTGCATTTCGCTACGGTTAAAGAAGTTTGCCAAAATATTGTTATGCGAACCCCGGCTTGCCGACAAAATAGGCTTTGTTTAGATTTACACAGCATTTAAAGGTAATAGATCCACTCCCCGTTTCCTTTAAAGAAAAAAATCTTTATTTACACAGGTATGTGTACACAGTATGTGGACTAGGAAAAAGAAAATTAATTCAATGCAGACGATTTCGTTAGTATAGGATCGTCACCCTATTAATCACTGTATCCTAAAGAGATTGTATGAATGCAGTAGCTAGCTAAATCGGCGTCCTTAAAGCGGATAAGGCAAAATCATACTGTTGTGCCAACTGAAATATCGAGCAATGCTACTGTGACGAGTGATGAAAACTCAAGCTATATATATATATATATAATTAAAACGTTAGATACTATAGTAGATGATTTTTTGGGCATCAAAGGCATAGCGTGGAGCCTGACAGGATCAGTCGCGATTGACACGTTACAAACGATTAGAATAGATCTTCCCATATCGACCAATGGGTAGATTATTAACTAACAGTTGGAAGCTTGTGATGGCCCTAATTCGAATTTGGGCCTAGGCACTTCGCTTCGTTCCTAGAGTGTGTCGTGTGAAATAATTCCTGACCGCGTTACTCTAACGGTAAGTGTTGGATGTAAAACAAAAAAAAAAACGCCAAATTGTGGCTTCCAGGTGGTGCAACATTTAGATAGATTATGGCTTAAACTAACTATGAAAGATGTCAAAAGATATCTTCAGTACAAAATATTAACCGAGTGTGAGAAAACATATTTTTATTGATTGAAGAGACTCAGCCATAAGCCTCTTGTATACTGGTAATTTCTGGGCGATTTATTCACGTGTACTAAACAATTAAACCAAATTGAGCTAATAAAATTACGGCAAGAACTGAGAGTCACGATATTAAGCGTTGGTATATATATATATATATCTATATACAAGAATACACCACATTTAAAGTCGAGAGTATAGGTTGTTAATAAAATATAGTTGGTCTTATTTTTCTTGGCTTTCTTGGCCGGCCCTCGGCTATGATACCTTACGACTCTAAAATCTTTTTGGACACTACCACGGAAGCCGTAAGGTAAGCACAGTTGGTCTTCATATGTGTCTCTTTAGTACCATACTATTGTGTCTTTGCTGTGAAGAAAATGTTTGGCACAGATGTCACGATTCCAACATGTTACCTACATAAAACTGCTACGTGGTAGCAGGCTCACTATATCCTTAACCATTATTCGGCATTAGTAAATAGGGCTTTGAGCAAATGAGTGACAGACAGCTATAGGTAGACCAGATGATTTGAACCGCAAACAAACAATTTGCTCTCTAGTCAAACACCAGTACGTGACCCATAGATGTGAAAGATTTGCATCAAGACCATCTCAAGCCTGTCTTATCCCAAATAAAAAAAGAATCGACCTTTCTGCTGCAACGAAATATCATATGCCTTGACAGGTTCCTGCCCGTTCAAGCCACCATTCCACATTTTCTGTTTCGGAAAGATATCTTAAAGTGGATGCACGAAATGTATGGACTCTGCGTTGTTTTTTTGTTCGAAATATCTTCAATCTTGATCTTTTTACTAACTAAACATGCACAGCCAACTATAGGTGAGAAGCAAGTTAAACCGCAATAATGGTCATCTTAAAGATAATCATTTCAATCAAACATAATTAGTTTTGAGTGGACCAGATGCCCTAGAGGAACAAAAAGTGGACGCTTAAACTGCTAACCTGGCGAATTTTATCTGAATTAATTCGGCAAAAGATGCTGGGGAAACAGTCTTAGAGCGGAGCGGTTTGAACGGCAATGCTTCGTGTAGCCGTTAAAATTGTCTGAAGTGGCGAAAGTTTGTATTCTAAATAGTGCTAGCAGTAATTTGGGGACAAATTGTTCAAAATGGTCATTACCATCACTTGGAATATAGCAAAATTACAACTGTTACATATGACGGATTATATGTAATACACGTAATTGTGCTATTTTTTTGGACAGGAGTGCTTCTTCTATCCTCTAAGGCAAGAGCCTGAATTATATTCAATCGAGGAACTTACTTTGAACATTACTATTAACGCTATTTGAAGTATAATAATCTTTCTTTGTTTCAGACAGTAGTTATGGCTATATGAAGTGTTGCCAATTAATTCTGCAACTTTTTGTGCAATGCCTTTCGCAATTTGTCAAATTACCAGGTAAAATTTACTAAGTCAGCAGTTTATAGCGTTTACGCTTTAACTCGCTGCTCAGATGGAAACGCTTTAATCATTAGAAGAAGTCTTGAAAACTTTGGAAGTTTTGCTATATTTGTATTAGATCAAATCGTAGCTACACCTATTATACGGTCCACTTCACTAATCGATAAGGAAGTATACATACGTAGCTTAAAAGACATGTGGCCTTCATATGGAGATAGTTTTATTCATCAAGTGTTCTGGTAATATCAATTTGCGAGTGTCGCTGGCGCCGATCCATGGCAGTGTTTCTTTAAAAAAAAAAAACAACTGAGGATTGAATCGTCATTAAGTCTTTGCATTTGAAATCCAATACACCTACGCAAATTTAAACCGAGATGAACGTTGTTTACGGGGGTTCTCTATTATCGTTTACCGCCTCGAAATTTTAGGCGGATGGATTCAAAGGTGATTATAGATTGACGATCGTCGTTGTGGGACAAGTACAATCTGTAACAACTATCGATAGCATCAGATAAGTTCACCGTAAGATAAGACCGATAAGACTGGTACTAGGCGGCTGACAATGGAAGGTTAGAAAGTTAGCAAAAACCGTGGGAATCTGGAAAAAAAATTGTTCATCATATACTACCTAAAACTGTGAGCATGAAAGAGTTAACCGTATGTTAAGACAAAACACCATCTCAAACTTCAATAGTCACCACAGTGAAAATTCTCAAATTAGGGCCTGAGTCAGTTGACCGTTTACCGTATTCGTCAGGTCTAGCATTTAGGCATGTTTTTCTGCTTTTTAAGCTCACAGTTTTGCTCAGAGAACAGAGAGTTCCATCCGATAAGAAGGCCATCACATTCATAAATACGTGTTTTGCAGGCCAACATGCCAACTACTGCTGGGACGGATTAAAAAGGTAGAAGCATCATTGGAAAAGTGTATGGACTTACAACTAAGACTACGTTAAAAAATAAAACAGCATTCAACAAAAACAAAGTTATTTTTGCAATAAGCTAAAAACTTTTCGGACTGGCTATATATGTGTAGACAGCAAGATTGGTGAATATGTATCGTATGTGTCGCGGTGGCCAAAGACTTATTATTATTGGTGCCTTTTAGAAAAAGAAAATTTTAATATCCCGATATGTTTGATACACAGACTACAGATTCGACTGCGCAAGAGTTGATCGAAGTAAACTAAAATTTTTTCTTTTTTTTACCACTTATGGCGAGTACTATGCCAAGATATTCAAAGATTTTGTGGTGCTTACACGTTTATCTGTCCTATTATAGATATACGTGTGCCATGTCCTTCTTGGGACAACAGGGTTAGCCTTAATATTTTTAAGTGACTCGAGCTAGCAAAAATGACCCATAATTATACTACGTCCTCTCATAGTAAAAAGCTTCGTCAATCATCCTGACACTGATTGGCGAGCAGGCAGCGCACTTTAGAAAGTAACGTAGTTGGGCTCATTGCTTAATTAAAGTTATCACAAATGATGGTGTTTAAGCAAGTGTGGCTCTTAATGAGTGATTTTCTACAATTTGCAAGGACCCAATGGAAGCGTTTATTCAATTTTATTGGAAGTGTTTATTAAATTAAGGTGGTTCTTCTCTATTTTAGAAATCATGGATGTGATATCGCTGGTGTCATTCTTCGATGTTCGTACATAGGGTCCGCTCTTTACTAAATCACATCAAATCATGTGAAAGATGGATGTAGCATTCTTGGAAATTCCAACACCTGACTGATACTTCCTTATGGCCACTCCCAAGTAAGTGCTTGCTGTTCGTACTATTGATACCAGATGTTCGTTCGTTCGTTCGTTCGCAAAGAATCGACTACTTTCGATATACATTTGGATGGGAACTCCGAATTTAGTTCTTATAAGAGAAACAAATAATAATTAATAATAGAAAAATCCCAAAATATGCACCATCCTAAATATAAATATAATACTGAAACGCAAATGTAAAAAAAGCTGCGATTGAGTGGGTGTTTTCAACTAGGTTACAGCATGTCTTAATTACGTGAAATCGAGAAAAAATGAATGGACGTACAAGTACAACAGAGATGAAAAACTCAGCCATACATAAAATAAGGTAGGCTTAAATTCATTTTGACTAACTTGTCAGCTAATCAATTTCTGGGCCATATTGGGTGACATTTGTTAAGATCGAAGCACGGTCGTCTGCTCATTTGTCTGTTTTTTGTACTGTCTGAAATAACACTTAACGGCAGCACCGGACGTGAAAGTCTGTGATGTGCTTTTGCGATTCCTTATTATCGTTGTGTCAAAACAAAGCAAAGTATTCAGACCTTAAATCTTTGCAGTAAATTGTATGTACTTGATTACAAAGTTGACTTTTTTACCTCTGGCCGTTGTAAGCCTAAGTTACCCACCCTCGCTGTAAATATTTGTAAATGAATGCAATATATGTCTGACACATTGTAAATCCATTCGGTTTATTAATTTTTTGCACAGTTTTGCTTGGGGTTGCAAAATCTAAGCCATTTGAAAGGCTAAACAGATGTTAAAATTTTTTTTGCGACAGCAGCCATCACTTTCTTACAAACGCCAAATTCAAGTTATTAAAAAACCTGAACCGCAACGTATTTCGGCGGCAGAGCGCCAACCTTTGTTAATAAAAGACTTCAGCTGTATTTGCTCTCCCAGACTGCATATCACAGAAAAATATCTGTCCTTTTCCAGTCGCCGCCTGTAGCAGCGCAGGCAAACCCTAATTTATCAATCGCGTCTGTTGATGGCCTTGCCTTAGAAACGAATACTTTCCTTTGACTCAGTAAAAGTCGTACACTTAATATAAAAATGTCGCGATTACTTTACGGATCTTAAGTGACGCTTATAATAGCAATGATTATTCTTAGTATTTATATTTTAAAAAATTATCTTTAGTACGATAAGGTAAAGGAATACTGCATATGTTGGAATTTAGCTAATCAAATCCTAACATCCCATTTGAGTAATTTTACAAATTCTCTACTCTGTTGTCATAATATATTAATTTATTGTCAGTTCGACGTGACACTGATACGATCTTCAGGTAAAAATATATGCACTTAGTGCATACCACACGATTATATTATTCATTAGTGTTCAGCACACGATTTTGCACATATTGATGAAACATGTAAAAACAGATCTAGTTTATATATATGAACTTCTACAGAATCAATATAGTTCAGCATTAAGAACACAAGTTATTTGATATGTCAGTGACGTTATTTAGCAACTTATTCGTTAAAAAACACTATTGCATGCAGCGTGTTTACTGCTACCCTGTTTCAATTAGCCACAGCTGTCTTCCTTATACGCGCCATCACCAATATCTTCGCTTTTTTTTTGCCATAATATATCTTCGGCGCCCTTCTGGCACGACGGAAATCGGATAACTTCGTACCGTCGCTCACTGCATTTACCTAGTTACACTCTTTCGTTGATTACTCATTTCCGCACGCTAATAATGCTTCACCTTCGAGCTTACGCTTTGCTTCAGCGCCACCTATCACGTAGACGACGCCGTTGGTTGGTTGGTTGGTTTAAATTTTTTTCATGCCCAACGTTACTTATTATATATATATAATCAGTAACGTTGATATATATATATTATATCCTCGGAATCATCTAGTTTTAGGAACAGCATTACAAACTTGGGAGTATAGCCAGAGTGGATTCTGCTGAGAGTGGGGTTTTTCCTACAGACCTACGAAACGGTACGGCAACCATTCAAGCAATTACGAACCTTAATAATTTTACCTTACCTTGTCTTTGTTAATAGTCTACTTTCCCTTCTTTTCTGAGTGTTACTATCTAGTAATGATACTTTGTCAATGCTGAGATTTGACCCAACGTGGCAGAGTGTTTTTAGTTACAGTTACTATAGCAACACACTCGAAAGGACGCACATTAGACACCCACACCGCGCTGCCTTTGATAGTACAAAACCCTGCGGTTTTGGCAGGTCAGTTCTAAACCCTTTTAGTTCGGTAGCTTTTACGAGTTTTGTCGGACGTCGGTTTTGCCGTTGTTATCAAATTCTATATGAGCATGTTATTGGTCGCAAATTGAAATGTCTGTGCTAGCGGTTAGAGAATTCATCCTTAACCGTGTTCGATATGGCAGCTATCAATTATTTATTTTCTTAGCCGTTTACTAATACATATATTCATATTTAGTATACATACCGACAGGGATTAAAGAGAGCAAAGCGAAGTTTTTACATGATAAAAACGATCGCATTTTTTTATGTTTTTGATCAACAAATCGCGCATAAGGCGGATGTTCAGTTTCAAGATCATTTAAACCAGTCAATAAACAATTTTATGTCCAAAAAGTTCGTCACATATAGTCACGTGCTAAACCGCTTCCCGAAAGCTTAAATGCGATTCTGCGCCGCTCTTTCCAACAGTGTGTGTATATCTTCCTACATCTGAGAAACTAAATGTTGACTGGAACAAGATGAGTTCGCAGGCTCCCTCGTACTAATCGTACGCTTTTGTTTTCGTTCAAACTAACACACCACGGATTTTTTGGGTAATTTAGCACAAGGCATTTGTTTGCCAACACAAAATATGAGGCAAATTTTTTTATTCGATATTTAGTTTAAAAAAGGGTATTCTTAAAGAAGGTATAATATACGTATCTCTTACGTGGACTTCTTAAATGAATAATTCTAGACGCTCAATTGACAGGGCGGATATAAAAATGTTGTTTTCAATTTGTTTCCTTATACTTTTGGCAATAGGTAAGCGATAAGCGACGTCCTGTGCAACACTGTTTGATGCATTTGTCACATGGGTCACGAAAAGTAAGCAGGAATAAAAGGTGGATATTACTAAGCTTTCAACAGCCAGTTAAGAAGAACAACGTCATTATTTCTTTCTCTATCCAAAGGATAGGAAATTCGAAGAGTTTAACAAATAAATGACTGAGGAGGTGGAATATAGCATTAGAAAGGTAACAGAAGATTTTCCCCTTTTTGATCAGACTTAGGGATGACGACTTCAGTCTAAACATGACGGCTACCTTACTGTTAAGTAACCTCTTGAAGAAATGGCTACTTTGTTCAAGTCTTCTTAGCTGTAATTCTACTGCAGTTTGTAGCACCAATGCGGTCAACTAATTTCTTATACAATAGTGCTTTACGATTTTTGTTTTTATCTAATTTATTTATTTGTATTTAACTACCATCACTAAGCAACTATCTATTTCCGTGAACAATAGGACATGACAATAGGAATGCGATGTTAACAGATTGTACTATAAAACATTTTCCCGCACGTAACGTTACGTGCGGGAAAATGTTTTATACGAAAAAGAGCAACGAAAGAAAAAATTTAGTATTGTTTTTACGACGATGCAGCACAAGACAGTAATTTTTTTCGGAGATGCTACAGAATTTTTCTTTAGCAGCACAAAGTATGCGTGAAAAATTTTGCTTACAAAATTTCTTAGACGTATTTATCTTACATCAAATGTGCGAAATAAGAAAGTAAAACGTTCACATTTTAGGCAATCACAAAAGAGGAAAATTCTTTTCTATGCCATGTCGTGCCCTTCGGGCACGTCGACGATCCATGAAGCCTATTTGTTCTTTTTAGTAGAAAAGGGCGCAGAACACCGTCAACGAAAAATTTCACAGCGGCATTGTTATCAAGACTGTGGTGAGTAAGCGCATGAAGTTAAGTTGTAAACATCTTACCTCACGCCAACACAGGCCAGCAGTGGCCAATACCAGGCAGTAGTATGCCCGTCACCGAGCCGCTGTCTCCAACAATCTAATAAAGGTTAGCTGTATTTGAAAAGTTAATTTCGAAGTATCGGTAAAACTCAATTCGAGCATTTTTCATCCATTGAACTCTTTTAGTGTACATGACGTGCATCGTATTTTATCTAGCCTCTTACTGAGCTAGTAATCATGATATTATTTTTCCTAAGAAATATAATCAGATGCATAAAATGGACACACATGGACAACGCGACAACGAGCAGAACTATCAAATTAAGTAGATCACAGACTAACAAGAAGATATACAATTCGGTAGAACCTAAAAGTCAGATATCCGGAATATTGACTGAGCACTGGTTCTATCGAATCAAGTGACGAAAGGCGCAAGTAAACATATAGAACCGCTCACACTTTAGGATACGAGTCCTGAAAGCTATATTTGTTAAGCTAATGTCATATAACATACATTAAACAAGGATTCTATTGAACCCTTGAATGTTTGAGGCACTACCTACCAGTTTGACTTATCGTACTTCTCGATGCAACTATCTGTGAAAATTGCTTCAATAACTGCAACACTATTCGAGCTCGACACCTCTTTAGCAATTCAATGTTTAGTGGTGAACTAAGGATTTGCTAAAATACGTGACCTTTACGTGTCAACGTCAATTAAATGGCACTTTTTTTTATATTGCTATTATATATATTATTTATATATATATATATATATAATAGCAATACTTATAGGTATTGCTTTATGTTTAGGAAAAAGATTGTATGTTCAACAAGTCGGATCCCTTTTTTGCCTCCTTCTCCTTTCCAGCAACCTCGTTGTCTGACCCAGAACTACCGATAGCAATGAAAGTCCAGAGTGAAACCTTCTTATTAAGGAGCTCGTCATAAAAAAACAGATATTTTTAAAATGATCCAACAATGGCCGCAACTTTTGCTAAAAAAATGGTGATAGGGTAACGGCGATATCTGTGCATTCAGTGCAGTCTAAAATGGTTTCTACTGGATATAT